TTAGAGTTCATCTTCACATATAATTTTTCTATAGATTTGCACCTCTCGCCTTCTTTCCTTTTCAACGACCACTCATATGTTACGATCGGACCAATAGGCGTAAATATACATATCTAATGTCTTTATGGTATGCTATTTAATTTCCCTATACATTCTAGTCTATTGAGACAGTTTTGAGAGTTTAATTCTTTGTTATTAATATCTAGTTAAAATATGTCTATTTTGTTAAAAATCCAATGCCTTTATGGCATTATGATATGTTTAATCTTTCTATACCATTTAATTTTATACGTCTATCATATGATATCTCGCACATCCCAGTACGTTAAGCCGTGTAGGATCACATACCTAAGACCTTTATAGTTCATCTTCACGTATAATTTTTCTATAGATTTGTACTTATCGCCTTCTTTCCTTTCCAACGACCCCTCATACGTTACGGTCGGACCAATAGGCATAAATATACATATCTAATGCCTTTATGGTATGATATGATGTTTAATTTTTCTATACCATCCAATTCTATTCGTCTATCACATGTTATCTTGCTCATGCCTCTACGTTAAGCCGTTTAGGCACTACATACCTACAATCGTTATTGTCCATGACTCTTCGGAAAAAGAAGAAGAATTGGCAGTTGCGGAAAGAATAACATTGGACTAAAAATGGCGAATATTTGGCGGCGTCAACTAGCGGATAGCTGAACTATGACAGTCGGTAATGTAGATTCCTTTGTTTAAAATTTTTAATTTATTTAATATTTTAATTTAAAATTGGATTGAAAATGGCGGCGCCACCTAGCGGACAATAGTTAAACTACCGTAGAGGAGATTCCTTCGACGTGACATCATCTATCTCACTCTTACTCACTAAAAGATCCTTCTCTCTCTAACACATTGTTTTCCCTATGTCTATAGTCATGCCCGCCTTGTATATCTACTGAAAGAATTAAGAACAATCTGGTAATAACTGTATTTGATCTAGATTCGGAAGATAAAAATATGGGGTAACTAAATTCTTCCAACATAAACTGAAAATGGAGCACAAAGTTAAAGAAATAAGGAAAATGGAAACAAGCAACATTAAACATTTCCCACACACATACACACACAGGACAAATAAAAGGGCATTATAGAGATGGAAACCTTTGAAGAAAAATTAAAAATCCTCAAAAACAAATATATGTTGAAAGAAATTAAAAATCAACAAAAATATATTGATGGCAACAGTGAATTGAATAAAAGTGATGGGAAACCCAGATGAAAATTCAACAAGACGCAAAACATTTTAGATCTGCAGATAAACAAGTAAACGGACAGGATGCAGGAAACTGCATCCTACTAGGATACTAGACAAGACAGTATGAAAGTGGAGTCAGAAAGACCATAAACTTATGGAAATTTAAACACAAAAAAGCGATGAATATGGATCCAAAAAACTAGCAAAGAATAAGGATAATGGTCACAAAATCTGACAACTCTCAGCAACACTAAATATGACTTTCATATCGACAAAATTTGGGCATCCAAGCAAACAAGCCAACCTGAAGACATCCATCCGTCCTAGTAACCAAAGAGTTAGTACAAAAAACACTGGACACAAGATCTTATAGAGGAGCAAACATGAATACTGACAGCTTTCTGATAATAATAAAAATTAGTGCACTCAAATGGAAAAAAGATATCAAGCTAAAAAAAACTCTAATAAATGGAATGTAGAAGCATTAGTAGAGAATGAAATGGAAGAAAAATTTTAACAACAGATCTAATAACAAAATATATCCAACTTTTTGAGTCAACCCACAAACATAAGCGAAAGATGGCAAGAAGCTATACAGGCAATCATAGAAAAGTGTGACTGCCAGATTGACATCAGAAATATCCAATTGGTCTCAGAGAGCAGTTTATAAAGAGGGTAATTGGCTTTTCTGAAGTTATAACCTTTATTGCAAGAGTACTTAAAAAATTATTGTTTATTAAACCACTAGAAAAGGCCTAAAAATTAACTTCAACAAAACAAAAGTAATGACAAACACGGAAGACCAAGAGGCAATAAAAATAAAAACAGAAAAAATAGAACAGGTAAATGAGTATATCTATCTAGGACAAGCAATCAGAGCTAATAGAGAAAATCAAACAGCCGAAATATCGAGACGAGTAAGAATGGGATGGGCAGCGTTCGGCAAACTTTCTTACATTCTAAAAAAATCAAACAATCCCTCTATACTTACGAAGCAAGGTATATAACTCCTGTATCATACCGGTGCTCACCTACGGAGCACAGACATGGACATTTACACAGGCCAATTTGGATAGGATAAGGAAGGCACAAAGAGCGATGGAAAGACAAATGTTGGGTGTATCACTTAGAGATAGAAAACGTAACCAGTGGATCAGAACCAGAACAAAGATAGTAGACGCGATAGAACAAGCAGCAAAACTAAAATGGAAATGGGCTGGACACAATGAACGTCTCCAAGACGGACGATGGAACAATGCCATCGGAAAGTGGCGTCCATACAATGCAAAGAGATCCAGAGGCAGACCACAGATGAGGTGGAAAGATGACATCAGGAAACAAGGAGGTCCCACATGGCAAAAAACAGCTCAAGATAGGGAAAGATGGAGAGAACTGGGGAGACCTATATCCAACAATGGAAGGATAGAGAATAGGCAATAAAAAAAAAAAATTACGGACGATTTTCACATTTGGTCCCATTGAAGATAGCATCAAATTAGCTGTCAATTAAGTTTCACAGAACGAAATATTGGGTTGGCAGTGTTGCCATGTTATTATAATGTATGTTATATGCTTCAAATACAAAGAGATAAAGCTTTTAAAAGGTATACCGGGTGGTGAATCGTCAAACGGGCCATAGGAAACTCAATGAGAAATTTTAAATTGTTGAATTGCTGCTTCCCTAATTATTTTAGATCAAAAGTCATAAAAAACTATTTGTAGAGGACTAAAATCTGAATTAAAAACAAATGTTAAAACCGTTCTACGAATCAAATGTATTTCAAAATTTTGAAAAAATGTATACATTTTTCAGACCACCCCTAAAAGTTAGGCCACACGTAATGCAAGAATATATATTGGGACGTGTGTCTTTTATCATATTAATGTCAGATGTTTGACAATTTGAATTGTCAATTTTTTTATTTTATGATTAAATTATAAACAATGAATTTTACTAACTACTACTACTACTGAACATTATTACTTTGTGAAAAATAAATTATATTTTTACAAATCGATCAATATAATGAAATGTACTCAGTTGACGAAAAATCGCATAATGTTGTACCTACTCAGGCAATAGCGCGAACCTTTTCCTGCCACTACCGGATCTTTATTTAACGTAAGATATTCTAATTCACTAAAATTTAATTCCATGTTAAGTTAAGTTATACAACAATTCAATGAATTCCAATATACTATTACTGTGATCTTTATTCCTAATAATAATATATGATTATTTCTAAACATAAAACTGTAACAAATAATAAAACATGAATAAAACATTTTTATTATTGCTTTTTTCTCCTCAACTGGGTACATTTTTTAATCAACTTAATTTTTTTAAAACAATAAATCACAAAATTTTGGTCATTTAAATCATAGATAAATATAATATAATTGATTTAAATATTATCAAATATCAGAAACAATAATATGACAAAACGCAACACGTAATACACATTTTGTCAAAGAAAAATGTATTATATTTTAGCAAAATTTTGGAATACGTTTAAGTCGTAGAATAATTTTAACAGTTGTTTTCGATACATATTTGAGTCCTCTACAAATAGTTTCCCATGACTTTTGGTGTAAAATAATTAGGGAAGCAGGAATTCAACAATTTAGAATTTACCATTGAGTTTCCTATGGTCTGTTTGCCGATTCACCACCCTGTATTTTTATCATATTATTTTATGGATTCTGCAATTTTATACCTTATATAAAATATTAATGAAGTAATATTTGTTTCGTTTGATATTAGTTGTAATAAATTATCAGAAAATTTTTTTGGCAATTGCCCTTTGGTAGGTTAGCGGATAGATTTGGCAATAGAGTCCGAACCCTCGAACCACCCGCTGCCAGATTACAACAGATGCCTTTTAAGTTTGATTATTTATACTGACATTTTACTATTTACTGTTAAAAACTGTTTTAAAACTATTTGCTTTTTCTTTTTTTCGTAATCGTTAAATATTAGTTTTTAAATATCTGATTGCTTTTAATTGCGTATGTTTCGTTTGTAATGTAAATTTCAACACTGCGAAACACCAATATTTCATTCTGTCAAACCCATTTGAAGCTATCTTCAATGGGACCAAATGTGAAAATCGTCCGAAATTACATTCTTAACTGCTCTTAACATTTAGATTTTGATAACAATTAATTTATTGTTAATAATAATAAATATTACTATAACAAAACCCACAAATAATTTGAAAAACCAAACAACATATAAGATACTATGTGATGCCAGTTCAACATGGAAGAATATTCAAATGGAAGACTGAGAATTTCTAGTTCCTGGGTAACATAGATGCACAACAGTCCAATTTAGTAATGATAATCTACATAGTGTTAATCTGTGTGTGGTGCTTCTCATTTTTCTCATTAAAAGAATGTTCTTAATCTAAGGAGTGGAATATTATAAAATTGAAAATGTTGAGGGTTTGAACTACTAAATCTTGAAAGGATACACAAAACAGAGAAAGAAAATAAAAGATCATGTGAATTATATAGAAAAGATTAAAGTATAAAATATAAAATTTATAAGCTGATTTAAAAAATGTGCCATTACACAATAAAAGTATTTTCATCTTAGGGTAGAGTGAAAGTGGAGTCATCATCAAAGGATGTGCCACTGAAAATGGCAAAGGCATGTTATTTTTGCGATTAAAATTTTGTAAATATGTAAGGAATGAGAAATATCTAGTGTCTTTAGAATGAAACTTTGTATGAATAGGTACATATTTTCTACTTACTTTTTTTCTGGTGAACAAATTGTAACCTCTGTTGATATAAATGTTGTTCAGTAACATGTTGAATTTCTAAAAGGCCCTTAACTATTTCAAATACTGTCTCGTTAAGTAAACAATTCGCCAAGCTTGATAGTAGCTCACAGGGCAGTCTCATTTGATATTTACTAAAAAAGTGTCATTTATAAATCTAGTACTTATTTTAAACTATTTTACATTTTCTTACGGTGGGAGATCTTTAGCCATATTCTGAAGTTGTTCTAATAAGAAATAGAGCTTCTTCTGTAAAATAAGTGAATCTTCAGTGGTATCCATTTTAGAGTTTAATTGGCAGAAGTATAAAGAAAGTGGCGATGAATTACTTACACTTTTACCACAGAATAGTAGTTGTGATTAGTATTCTGTGCTTTTACAAAAAGTAAAGAAAGGACGATTTTCACATTTGGTCCCATTCATCGAGCACCCATTGAAGATAGCCTCAAATTAGCTGTCAATTAAGTTTCACAGAACGAAATATTGCGTTGGCAGTGTTGCCATGTTCTTATAATGTATATTTAAAATAAACAAATATTATTTAATATTTGTTTCGTTTGATATTAGTTGTAACAAATTATTAGAATTTTTTTTTGGCAATTGCCCTTTGATAGGTTAGCGGATAGATTTGGCAATAGAGTCAGAACCCTCAAACCACCAGCTGCCAGATTGCAACAGATGACTTTTAAATTTTATTACTTATACTGACATTTTACTATTTACTGTTAAAAAATGTTTTAAAACTATTTCCTTTTTCTTTTTTTCGTAATCGTTAAATATTAGTTTTTAAATATCTTATTGCTTTTAATTGTGTATATTTCATTTGTAGATAGATAGATTTAAAACAGTTTTTAACAGTAAATAGTAAAATGTCAGTATAAATAATAAAATTTAAAAGGCATCTGTTGTTGTTGCAATCTGGCACATGGTGGTTTGAAGGTTCTGACTCTATTGCCAAATATATCCGCTAACCTACCAAAGGGCAATTGCCAAAAAAAATTTCTGCTAATTTATTACAACTAATATCAAACGAAACAAATATTACTTCATTAATATTTTATATAAGGTATAAAATTGCAGAATCCATAAAATAATATGATAAAAATGTACCTTTTAAAAGCTTTATCTCTTTGTATTTGAAGCATATAACATATACATTATAATAACATGGCAACACTGCCACAGAATAATAAACAATCAGAAGGGCCATGGACGTATAAACACAGATGGACTCAGTTATTTACATAAAATTGTGAAGTCAAAATTATTTGAATATGTCACATTCTCAGCACTTCCAACTGTTGTCACGTTTTTTTATTAAAATTTCTTATTCGCGAGTCGTTGAAAATATTACTCCGTATTTTATACTCTACAGGTGCTATCAAACCAAAATAATAATTTATTGGTTATATAATTATATCTAATTGTAATCAAAATATCAAGTGTGCACATAGTGTGCATTATCATTTAATAATAGCGTATAATAGATATCAATCAATTATTTTATATTTAGAAGCACTGAAAACTATTTATAAATGGCAACGGTTGTTTACATTTCTCTGTTTTACGGTTCTACGTCAAACTTCAAATGCTATTCCATGTTTGTTTACAACGATTGAGGAAATAAGGAAAAATTGTTTTTTAGATATTTTGGCTGTATTTTGAGTGATATTTGTGAAAAGTGAAATAAAATAAACGAAATATTTACATCCCGGTCTCTCATTTCATTTGTAAGTACATACAATTTACATTATTTAAGATGAGGAAATAAAAAAGCGTGTTTGTTTACATTTTAATAGGCGTACCATTGGGTTTATTCATGTTCATTAATGTATTCAATAAGATATAATAAAATTGTATTTTAATTTTTCTATAAAGACGTGATTTGTTAATAGTTAAATTCTCGTTTTTTTTTTAATTCTTTTAACGTGTTTTTATACATTATTACTACTTCCAATTTTTAAAATCTGAATAATTACCCGCTAGTAAAAATTCAAGCACGCTTATACTCATTGCGGAAGCATCACATTCTATGGAAGATTCAAAACATTGTGTGTTAAAGCAAGGTATCTTATTGCTGTGTCCATCTATGTTTATACGTCCATGGAAGGGCCACTCTCAGATGCCGCCTTTGAAGTTTTTCAGCACGCGCGCCATGTTTTAGGAGGACACAGACATATGATTTGTGTGGGTATGTAATTGTTTATATTTATGTTTAATTATATTATATTTATGTTATTATATTTAACAATGTTAATATAATTGTATAGTATGTCTATGATTGCCGTAAGTCAAATAAACCTGGTTAATTTTTCCATGCACACCACATAAACAACACTAATTTCTTTAAAATCCTCCTAAAACATGGCGGAACGTCTGCGCGTACTTAATTTTCCGTGGAGATTGGGTATTCTGTTTGTTTATTATTCTGTGACACTGCCAACGCAATATTTCGTTCTGTAAAACTTAATTGACAGCTAATTTAAGGCTATCTTCAATGGGACCAAATGTGAAAATCGTCCAAAAGTAAAATCGAATGCAAATAATTTCACATCGTTTGGTCCCAATGAAGATAGCCGTGGGTTGAGTTTACCGAAAGTACAAGCTGATTATAGCCGCAAATGTCAACAAGCATGGCACAAAAAAATTTGGTTTAGCACTAGCAGTGTTGGCATGTTTTTATAATGTATATGTTGTGTTGTATGCTTCAAATATAAAGAGATAAGCTTTAGAAAAGTACATTTTGATTATATATCTACTCGTTAATGCTTCATATAAGTTAAAAATTGCAGAATTCATAGAATAGTATAATCAAAATGTACTTTTTAAAAGATTTATCTCTTTATATTTGAAGCTTACAATATAAGCATTATAAAACATAGTGTCTAGAGCCTGACCATCGAGCAATAAGACAAAAGAGGGAATGTAAAGGTAAAAGGGGTAAACATATTGATAGACAGGAAGTGCCATCTTGAGAGGCCACTTTAGACAAGGATAGAGAGTCTCTCTCCTTGTTTGATATCAAATTTAGTTGGGTTATGTTATTGTTTGTCCCAAATGTCACATGAAATCTTATTTATATTGAAGTTTTTTAACAATTGTGTCGCATTTTAGACTATTATCGTTAATAATTAATTAAAACTTTCTCGTCTAAGACGCATTTTGAAAAATATTATATAGCTACTGTTGATAAGTGTCGAAAAATTTAAATTTGGCGCCTTTGCATTTCCGGATGTGTCCGCCATCAGAGGCCACTTTTTTGGTCTCCTTTTTATTACGATTAGATTCCCTCTTTTGTCTTATTGCTCGATGAGCCTGACCCACTATTCTGTGCAGACTTGCGCAGTTCATCTGTATAAATTTCTGAATGTGTCAACGAAGTTTATGTGTATTGTTGGTTGCGAACATTTTATACTTCCATGATGCCAACACTGTCACTAGTGTCTAGAGCCACAGAATAATAAACAATCAGAAGGGCCACTCTCAGATGCCGCCTTTGAAGTTTTTCAGCACGCGCGCCATGTTTGAGGAGGACACAGACATATGATTTGTGTGGTTATGTAATTGTTTATATTTATGTTTAATTATATTATATTTATGTTATTATATTTAACAATGTTAATATAATTGTATAGTATGTCTATGATTGCCGTAAGTCAAATAAACCTGGTTAATTTTTCCATGCACACCACATAATTTCTTTAAAATCCTCCTAAAACATGGCGGAACGTATGCGCGGAGGAGATGCGCGTACTTAATTTTCCGTGGAGAGTGGGTATTCTGTATGTTTATTATTCTGTGCTAGAGCCTGACCCACTATTCTGTGCAGACTTGCGCAGTTCATTTGTATAAATTTCTGAATGGTGTCAACCAGTGATATGTAAGATATTGTCTATTCGCTTAGCTAGGGCATATTTTGACAGACTCATTGTCGGAAACCTACAACACAACAATTCCTACTTCTCATTATTAATAGCTCAAGTGTACTACTATTGCAGACTTCTTTCTTTGAAAAAAAGAAGAATTATTCTAAATAGTGGAAGTATATACTAAACCCATCAAATTTTCCCTGTATATTTAAAATATAATATTTTAATTGTTACAATTTAAAATATTGTAGTAAATATTTGTATTATTCGAGTTGTTTATTTAATTTAATATAGTTTTATTATCTTTGTTTAATTCTTTTGTTAGTTCTATTCAGTATAGTTAGTTATATTTTAAATTTTATTATTATGGATAGTCAAAGTTTTCCATTTGTTCCATCAGCTAATGTGTTGGTAAGTTTTTCTTAATAAACATGATAAAATGTTTTTTAAAAGTTAATATTTTTAGATTAGTTGTTTCTAATTTAATATAAACTTGTTTATACCTACATGGAGGTTCTTGTTGTTTGTTTGGGTTTATATGACTGCAGACTGCGGCCAGGACACTGAATTCATTAACCATATGTGGAAGATTTTAACATCCTCAAATGCTAATGAGCAAAAATTACTATTGAACCACGAATTTGCCTAGTCCAATTACTAATATTTGCTTTTAGCATATGGAAGTACACTTATTTTGTAAGAAAATAAAACAACAGTTTATGTTAATGCTATCCAATGAACTGTTAATCTTTAATCATTGATTCCATCCTAGTCACAACATAAGGAACTTGCTGTGTCTTATTTAACCTCACTTTGACTTTTTAATTTTGTAGAATTTATTCCCACTTTTTTTATTTTGTACAATAAATAATTTTATTATTTGTTATCAATACATTATACGGTGTAAATAAATAACTATTGATTGTCGGCAAAGTTCTATTTTATTTACTTTATTAATATTGACTAAGAGCACGTATGCTTGGTTGTATAGTAATTTCCAGCCACTTCGAGTCTGTCAAAAAGTAACTAACTTCGCAAAAAAATAATTACTAAAATCACTAGACAGTTCGGACTGGGAATAGCGAACCAGGTATATCTCTGGTGTCAACGAGGTTTATGTGTATTGTTGGTTGCGAACATTTTTTTGTAAATTAATAATATAAATTATTTCAATCCATCTATTTAACCTGTTTGATAAATGTATTAATGTTTAAATTATAAGATAAACATTGGTTATATTATAAAATTTTTGGATTCTGCACAAAATTCCCAGAACTTTGATATATTGCATGTCATAGTTTTAATTAACTTATTTTAGGATACAGGGTGGTTAATGAATCGATCACTCTCTGCGTGTCACCTTATGATTTTAAAAGGTTCTATACCTAATTTCAATAAAGAAGAGTGAGTTCATTTTCGTATCTCAACTTATTTCTAATAATGTATTGTACTCTAAGATATGTACCTATATTCTTTTAAATAAAATAGATATTATGTTAAATAAATGAAACCTGCCTATATTTTTACCAGGTGTAAAATGGAATGTACA